TACCAAAAGCAATCTACAGATTCAATGCAATCCCCATCAAAATACCAACACAATTCTTCACAGACCTGGAAAGAATAATACTCAACTTCATATGGAAAAACAAAAAACCCAGGATAGCCAAAGGAATCCTGTACAATAACACAACTTCTGGAGGCATCACGATCCCTGACTTCAAGCTCTACTATAGAGCTACAGTAATAAAAACAGCTTGGTACTGGCATAAAAACTGACATGTGGACCAATGGAATCGAATTGAAGACCCTGACATTAATCTGCACACCTATGAACATATAATTTTTGACAAAGAAGCCAAAAGTGCACAATGGAAAAAAGAAAGCATCTTCAACAAATGGTGCTGGCAAAACTGGATATCAACATGTAGAAGGCTGCAAATAGATCCATATCTATCACCGTGCACAAAACTTAAGTCCAAGTGGATCAAGGACCTCAACATAAATCCAGCTACTCTGAACCTACTAGAAGAGAAAGTAGGAGGTAGTCTTGAACGCATTGGCATAGGAGACCACTTCCTAAATAGAACACCAGTAGCACAGACTCTGAGAGAAACAATCAATCAATGGGACCTCTTGAAACTGAGAAGCTTTTGTAGAGCAAAGGATACGGTCAACAAGGCAAAGCGACAGCCTACAGAATGGGAAAAGATCTTCACCAACCCCACATCTGACAGAGGACTGATATCCAGAATATATAAGGAACTCAAGAAGTTAGACATCAAAATGCCCAACAGTCCAATTAAGAAATGGATTATAGAACTAAACAGAGAATTCTCAACAGAGGAAACTCAAATGACTGAAAGACATTTAAGGAATTGCTCAACATCCCTAATCATCAGGGAAATGCAAATCAAAACAACTCTGAGATACCACCTTACACCTGTCAGAATGGCTAAGATCAAAAACACTGAAGACACCTTATGCTGGAGAGGATGTGGAGCTAGGGGAACTCTCCTCCACTGCTGGTGGGAATGCAAGCTTGTACAACCACTTTGGAAATCAATATGGTGCTTTCTTAGAAAATTGGGAATCCATCTCCCCCAAGATCCAGCTATACCACTCTTGGGCATATACCCAAGGAATGCTCAACCACATCACAAGAGCATTTGTTCAGCTATGTTCATATCAGCATTGTTTGTAATAGCCAGAACATGGAAACAACCTAGATGCCCTTCAACTGAAGAATGGATAAACAAAATGTGGTACATATACACAATGGAATACTACTCAGCAGAGAAAAACAATGACATCAGGAGGTTTGCAGACAAATGGATGGATCTAGAAAAAATCATCCTGAGTGAGGTAACCCAGACTCAGAAAGACAAACATGGTATGTATTCACTCATAGCAGGATACTAGACGTGGAACAAGGATGACTTGTCTGCTACTCACATCACCAGGGAGGCTACCTGGAAAACAGGACCCCAAGAAAGACACAGGGATTGCCCAATGACAGAGAAATGGAATGAGATCTACATGAACAGCCTGGACATGAGTGGGGGTAGTGAAAGGCGAGGGTCGAGGGAAAGAGATCTTGGGGGAGCGGGAGATCCCAGCTGGATCAACAATAGAGAGGGAGAACAAGGAATAGGAGACCATGGTAAATGAAGACCACATGAGAATAGGAAGAAGCAAAGTGCTAGAGAGGCCCACAGAAATCCACAAAGATATCCACACAACAAACTGCTGGCAATGGTTGAGAGACAGTCCGAACTGACCTACTCTGGTGATGGGATGGCCAAACACCTAATTGTCGTGCTAGAAACCTCATCCAACTACTGAGGGATCTGGATGCAGAGATCCACGGCTAGGCCCTGGGTGGATCTCTGGGAGTCTAATTAGTGAGAATGAGGAGGGTTTATATGAGCGAGAATTGTTGAGACCAAGGTTGGATAAAGCACAGGGACAAATAGCCAAATGAATGGAAACACATGAACTATGAACCCATGTCTGAGGGGTCCCCACTCGATCAGGCCCTTCAAATGGGTGAGACAATTGATTGGCTTGATCTGTTTGGGAGGCATCCAGGCAGTGGGACCGGGTCCTGTGCTCATTGCATGGGTTGGCTGTTTGAAACCTGGAGCCTATGCAGGATTGTTTGGCTCGGCCTGGGAGGAGGGGCCTGGACTTACCTGGACTGAGTCTACCAGGTTGATCTCAGTCTGTGGGGAAGGCTTTGCACTGGAGGAGATGGGAATGGGAGGGGGGGCTTGGGGGAAGGTGAGGGGGACGGGAGGGGGGAGAACAAGGGAATCCATGGCTGATATGTAGAACTGAATTGTATTGCAAAATAAAAAAAAAAAAAAAAAACAAAACCATCATGACCATCCATTAGTCTCTATATTAACTACTATTCAATGAAGAGGGTAGCTTCTTATATTAAGGCTGGCTGTTGTATTAGTCTAAAATTGATTCATTAATGCAACAAAGAAAGATACAGCCAAAATTATAACCATTTTAAATGATTGATGATTTAATTCCTTCTTCAACCAGTCACTATCATGTCACCTAGTCCACATACTCCCTGTCTGTATCTCTCAAAGATAGAGTCGCCATCACTTGTGGAGCAACTTAGAGTATTAGTAATAGATTAGAGCTGCATCAGCAGAACCAAGGAAAGCTCCCAAACTTCTGCTCTACTATATTTATATCCAGTTTTTGCCATATGGTATACAAGCTAGGTTCAGTGTCAGTGGATTTGGGATAGATTTCACTCACTATAAGTATCTAATAGTCTGAAGGAATTGTAACTTATTACTGTCAATCACACTAAGTGTTACCATCCACCAATGATATAACTCATGATATAAACCATTCAGATGAGCAGATATTGAGGCTAAGATGTCATAGCTGCTTCTCCTAGCATCCCCACAATCCAATAATGTTTTCAAGTACAGATAGGCTTTGATGTTCATGGGGAAACTTGGGTGGGAAATTTCAATAAGGTTCCTCTGTTTGCAACTGTATTTCTTCTCTCTTAACCCAGCAGCACAGGTATCAGGTCAGTCTCATTCAAAACATCACAGTCCCAGTCCTGTGTTGAGAGTTCTTTCCTGCTTGCACATGTTTTAGCTCACTCCCTGGCACAGAATATTCCATATCTTCCAAAGTTTTCAGTTGCAGATTTGACATTGAGGTATTTGAACATTTTGGAGCTAGTTTTTGTATTATTGAAAGATAGGAATCGAGTTTCATCTTCTGTATGTGTACATCAATTTTCCCCCTAAGAACCATGTTTTGATGACACTTTTTTGTTCATTTGTTTGTGGGATTGTGTTTTCCTATGATTGTTAAACAGTTGACTCTAATTGCTTTGACATAACCTGGGTATTCAGCAGCTAAAGACGCTTGCCACCAAGCTGAAATCTGAGTTCAATCCGTGTAATACATAGGGTAAAGAATTAACTCCAGAATATTGTCCAATGACTTCTATGTGTGTCCACACAAATACACTCAAATAAATATAAATAAATAAATGTAAATGAAAAATTTAAATATCCATTCATTAGTTTTCTATTACCTTAGTAGTTTCATTAATAGTAGTGTGCTTCAGAGATTCTCCATTAGAATAGAATGATAATAACATATATGACTCCCATGAACTATTTCTTTTTTGGAGAGAAGAGAATATCAAGTTTAAATTAACAGGACAGTTTCAGAGAAATGGTCTGTTAGTGAAAGTGAGAAGACACAGGAGGATGGACACTACTTTTAGTAGGAAGATAGATGCAGTTTACTTTTAGTAAGCAAATGTCCTGAACAACCTGCCGGAGAAGATCCTGAGATGAGTGAAGGCAGCAGAAATCAGGTGCAAAGGCTCCTGGAGAATTCTAGTAAAATAACTGAGGGGAAGAGCCTGCTACACTTTCAATTAACAAACAGAACCAAGTTCAGGATAAACAAATGCTGTCCAACTACATTACTAGAAGGAGAGCATTGAAGTACCCAGGGATACCATGGAGACACTAAGTTACCCAAAAATGCACGTAGCATTGTAAAGAAGTACTTGAAGCACTCTGTGGACTACTGAATGTCACCATTTGAGATCAACTTGTAAACATGGGGATTTCCTGTGACTGTAAGAATGAAAGTGTGAGGCCTACCAGAGTCCCCATGGATGCCACAGACAATGAAGTCTTCCTGCTGGTGAATCCATGCTCACCAGTCGCTAGATCAGAGATTGAATGTGCTGAAGTATCACCACAGCATTTCATCATAGAAGACACCTAGGAGGGAGGATCTGAGAAGATTCAGGGCAGGAGAAACCATGAGAAAAATTTAATTGTATAAATGAGCAAATAAGTAAATACATAAATAAGTAAGTCAGCTAGTCCATAGTGTGCTATTGTTCACAGAAACTAGTGCTTCATAGAATCACTTTAATGCTGTATCTACCAGTGACCTGCAGAGACAGCCTGTTGACATGCCCTGCTGTCTCACTTGTAATGTTATTCTATCCCAAGACATGGGATGATTTCAACTTCTTCATAGCCAGGAAAAAAAATACTGAAGCCACCTAGTCACACAGCTGGAGACACTGATGGACCTGTCCAAACCTGCCTTAGAACTGCAAGGAAACACAGCAGTCTGAGAAGCCCCACATCCTAGTAGGTGAACAAAATTCACACTCCCAGAAGCCAAGGTTGCTGGGACACCTGTAAGCATTGCTAGTGTTGATTACAATTTAAAAAGAATTACATACACAAACACCATTTGTTGACCCTGATCCCTACCCAATTTACTGTAGCCAGTTACCTTCCAGGCACATTTCCATGAGGAAATCTTTCATCATAAACACAACCAATATAATTGGTGGAGGTAAAAGAATTTACCAGATTCATATAATTTTTTTAGATATGAGAAGCATTAAAATATGTAAAAGTATATATCTCTAAACAACATTAATAGTACCTTAAAGAAAATTTGGGAGATCCTGCCACATGTCAACCAAACTCTTGGCCACATTTCATCTCTAGGAGGAAGCAGCTAGGCCCAAGGGAGCAAAGGTTTTTGTCCCAGTCCGTAGCACTGTGCGGGTGGGCTACTACTCCCCTGCTGACAGTAGTAAGTGGCAGCATCATCATCTTGCACGCAGCTGATTGTGAGAGAGTAAGAAGTCCCAGACCCACTGCCAATGAAGTTACCTAAGACTCCGGCAGCCAGAAAGGATGTGCTATAAACCAGGAGCGTAGGGGAGGCTCCTGGCTTCTGCTGGTACCAGTGGAAGTAATTGGAGCTTATACTTGAGCTAGCACTGCATGTGATGGTGACCTTCTCCCCCCTGGATGCAGCCATGGATGCTGGATACTGGTTGAGCACAATTTCTCCTTTGGACACTATGATCAGGGGGAAGTGAGGAAAAGGAAGAGATGTTAGTAGACACAGAGATATAAAAATAACTTCATACCTCCCAGTATTTAGAAGAAAGAGAATGAGAATATTTTATCTTAGACTCAAACTCCCCAGGGAAAGGGATTGTGGATTCTGAACTCAAAACCCTCCCCTCTCTTACCTGTGACACTGATTAGTAGGAGGCTGAAAATTGGCACCTGAAAATCCATTGTGCTTTCTAATCTCAGTCTCAGGCTAATTACTGCTCTTTTCATAAGTACATCTCTTTAAAACAATTGTGAACCATTTGTGGTTTCTGAGGAGAAAGTATGCAAATAGCAAGATATAGTCTTGATGTTCTTGTTTTATAAACCCATGTGGCTCTTTATTAGGGCAAACCTAGAATATACTTAGTTGTAGATATTACACCGATGAGGAAGAAAATTCCCTTTTTCTTTCCTTCTTTTGTGATGTATAGTTCTGACCCAGAGTAATGACCATTTATTTATGTGAAGATTGGCTACTTGATCCTCTAAGCAATGCCAAAACTACTGAGCAGTTTGAGGCTTAACTCATCCATGATAAAACTGTGTTGATGATGATTGTTTATAAAGTTTTCAGAGAACTTTTAGATCAATTATTTGCTTCCTGTTTTCTTGGAAGCCACTCAGCTGTGACCTGCACTTGGAAAACAGCATTAAACTGTGTGTCATAGAACCTGGGTGTGCTCACAGACATCGAAGTGTGTAATATAGAACCTGGGTGTGCTCACAGACATCAAAGTGTGTGATATAGAACCTGAGTGTGCTCACAGACAACAAAGTGTGTGATATAGAACTTGAGTGTGCTCACAGACATCAAAGTGTGTGACGTGGAACCTGGGTGTGCTCACAATCATTAAAGTGTGTGGTATGGAACCTGGGTGTGCTCACAGACATTAAAGTGTGTGACATGGAACCCGGGTGTGCTCACAGACATCAAAGTGTGTGATGTGGAACCTGGGTGTACTCACAGACATTAAAGTGTGTAACATGGAACCTGGGTGCACTCACAGACATTTCTGCAATAGTCAACACAGATACCATCAACAGGAGAGTAGGAAAAAATAGTAACCCACGGCAGTAAAAAGGATAGAAATACATGTACCGATTTTGTAAACTTTCATTTGTCCAGAATTGTACCTCATGTTGGATTTAAGAGAACCCTAGGTTGTAAGTTCATGAAGATGCACTTATCTAAAAAAGCACCATTCTCAATATGCACCCTGCTTTGTTACTGTTTTCTTTTCTGTCATATTATTATCTGGAAATATCTGAACACACTTATCAAATAAATTGTATTTTAGTTATTAAAGCGGGACAGCTCCTGAGTCTGAAAATTTTTGTATAATTTTAATCCAAAATTGACTTTATTTTTGAGCAAATTTAGTTATGCTCCTCTAAACTTTGAAGTTAAGAAGAATCCATGAAGAAGTTGGGGTTCTCCCAAGATCTTCCTTAAAAAAGAGAACCCCCTTTCCTCCCATCATAAAAGACTTCTTTCATTGTGTATCAAAAATTAAGTAAAATAAGCCGGGCGGTGGTGGCGCACGCCTTTAATCCCAGCACTCGGGAGGCAGAGCCAGGAGGATCTCTGTGAGTTCGAGGCCAGCCTGGACTACCAAGTGAGTCCCAGGAAAGGCGCAAAGCTACACAGAGAAACCCTGTCTCGAAAAAACCAAAAAAAAAAAAAAATTAAGTAAAATAATAGTGAGAATTTGTGAATAGATATGCACATTGAGAGACAGTGACCTAAGATTTATTGAAATCAAATTGTAACATATGCTTTTCTGAGCACTCAATTCTAAGTAAATAACTTCTTTCAAGATAACCTGTGGTCTCATCTTTCATTGTTTATGGTTAGTAATTAGTAGCTAGTCTTATTCTCTCTTAAGAATGAAAAAAAACCTTCCATTATTCTTGTGAAGACTGTTTTTATATTTCAGCAGTAATGGCACTAAATTATCTTCTGTGTTACCTAAAACAAGTAAATCAGTACATTAATCAAAGAGCCTCCTTGTGGATAACGGATAGGACATCTCCTTCAGGTCAGACCTTAAATTAGGCTTTGGTCCTCAAGAGAACCCCAAAAGCACAATAATTTTCTTGGACCTACTGAGAATGAGAGACATCCAGCCTTTTATTTTAATTTGTTTAAATTTATTTATTTTACTGTATGTATATGTATGTTTTGTCTGCATGTATATATGTGCACCACATGGATGTTTGGTGCCCTGGGAATTTAGAAGAGGGCCGCACATCCAATGGAATGGATGTTCCCAGTTGTGAGCCATCATGTGAATGTTGACATGTGAACCTGGGTCTTCTACAAGGGCAAGAAATGCTCCTAACTGCTAATCCATCTTTCCATCCTGTGGGACATCCACTCCAATCAGCTATGGTACTATGACGATAAAAAACTACCAGTGGATATGGATCCTACTGAACAGAGGAGACTGTTGCTAGAAGTCAGAGTTTTAGGACAACCTTGTTCCCCTGGACAGTGGATTGCTCTATCTCCAGTTTCAGTAGGCTAACTATGGGGGTAGTCAGTTCCAAGAGAACTCTAAAAGAAGTAAGCAGAGACTTGGAGATTTTCCTGGGGGCCTAGTTGATCAAGAACCAAGAGACTGCTTGTTTTCTATAGTTACAATGGTTGCAACTCCAGGGCTGGTGATATTGAATTGAAAGATACATGTTAATGGTGCCCTCTGCTGGTAAGATGGGTGAAATGAAAACAGAGTTGGGTATTGTCTATTGGGGAATCTAGAGGAAGAGCTGCATTCACAGTGATCAGTGCCAGATACTAGTGTGCTTATACTTAAAAGTCCAAAAAAAAAAAAATATGCTTATGTTGTGTAGTGGGAAGTTTTTCTGTGTCCCACAACTGTTCTGTCCCAAACAAACACACAGAGACTTACATTAATTACAAGCTGATTGGTCTAAGACCCACACTTAATACTAAATAGCTCTTTTATCTTAAATTAACACATTTTTTTAATCAATGTATCACCACATCTCTCATGGCTTTATCTGTTTTCTATTATGTGTTGCTTCTCAGGTGGCAGCTTGCAGAGTCTCCACTGACCCCATCCTTTTTCTTCCTGTATCTCTCTTCTATTTCTCACCTGTCTATCTTCTATCTTGCTATAAGTTAAAGCAGCTTTATCTATTAACCAGTGGGAGAAACACATATTCATGGCATATAGAAAGACATCTCACATCAATGTTGAAAAACCCAGAATGGAATTATTCTTTCTTCCCAGCAGTCAGAGGCATAAGGAAGAATAATGTCCACACAGTCACACACATGCATATATATATTCCAATTCTTGTCATAATTAATTAAAGAAACATTAATAAGAGAGTGTTAAACACAGCTGCAAACACGTCAAAAGTGCATTTCCAGATTCATAGATACTACCTTCTCCCTGTCTTACAATGAGGTTACTACCAGATAAAATAATGTAGAACTTTTTATACTAACAAGGGTACAAAGTCATTTAATATAAAGCCATAATACATCAAAGTGTAGAATATGCTATTAAAAGGAGGCCACTCTATTGATGTTGATGCTGCCCTTAGTGATCACATGGCTGCCTGTGAGTTAAACATTGTCACTGCTACTCAGCATCAAGGAAAAGAGCTGATACCATACAACAAGGTACAGTAAAAGATAAATACTTTAATTTACAATCAGTTTTCTATTGGAAATACATTATTTGGGTCACCTTATGAAGGCAAAAAGTTACTCTGCTGAACTGAGGACCATGAAATCCCACAGAGGACAGCAGGACACTAGAAGTTGTGGGATAAATGTTGATGACTTTTACTGAATTTTAATTATAGTATCTTCCATTACATCTTCATTATGTCATATTCAAGAATGGGTGAATAAATGAGTGAATCTCTTGTACCTGGCCCTGTAGATCACCTGGTAAAATCAGAAGACCTTCTGACTTTCATTGGCACTCAATTCTAAGTAGCTAGAATGAGGAATCAAACCATCATCTTTTGAGCTAAACTGTTTTGTTCCACAGCCTCATGGACACTGTATTGTCACAAAAAGAAAATGGAAATAGCTAGTCTCTGTTGGATGTCTCTTTAATTGAATTGAAACTGAACTCAATCTTTAGAGACTTCCCCGAGATTCTCCTCTATTTTGGATTCCCAGAGGGAAAATATATTGCCAAGAGAAGATTATGGCTCCACAATCAACACGGAATCTTTTTACATATGTAAATTTGGATCACTTTTATTATCTTATCGGTAATTTTTGTCATCAGTTTCACTGTGCATAAGATTCTTTCATAATCACTTTTTATTTTTGAAATTATAATATAATCACATGATTTTCTCCCTTTTTTTGCTTTCCTCCAGACACTATGATTTACCCTCCTTGAATATACAAACCTTAGTTTGTATGAACTAAGCACTTTGTGTTCTGAACCATCTCAACTGCCCTAAATCTCAGGTTCATGTATATTCATTCTGTCAGTTCTGTTCCTTCAATAGAAACTTGAGCAACAGAATCCCTTTTAATGTAGGTCCGAGATATTTTTCTGTCAAGATATGTATTTTCTTGACAGCAAATGGGAAATTTCAGAGGGATAGAAAGAGAACTGATGACTCTTCATCAGTATGATGTACCCTCTTACCACTAAACATGTAATGATGAGTGCAGTATTGATGGTGTACAGCATCATCATACATGAAGTAGAATCTCTCCAGCAAAGAAGAGAATGTTTGTTTAAGTATGAACTCTATATGGCTTCACTACATCCCTGCTTTCCACAAAGTCAAGGTCAAGACAAACTACACTTAAACTTAAGGAATATGATATAGCATAGAGGAAAGTGGAGGAAGAATCCAGGGGAGAGGATCACAATCTTCCTTGTTGGAGACAAGTAATCCTTGGAGTCCTGGACTGACTCTCAGTTTTGTGTTATATTAATTACTCTTTTAGAGTTGGGGGATGAAGCAGATACTTTATTCTTCATTATTTTATTTTATGTCTCTGTGTGTTTTGCATGCATGTATGTCTATGTACCACACTCATGTAGTACCAAGAAGTCCAGAAAAGGGTACTGGATATCCTAGTTTGGGAGTTACACATGGTTGTGAACTGCCTTGTGGATGTTAGCAGCTCAAGTCAGGACTTCTGGAAGAATGGCCAAAGATCTAAACTGCTG